TGGTCAAAGATGAGAAAATACTCAAAGTAAGAAGTCGACACGGTTACCACATCTCCTTATTAATTTCCGCCTTGGAGGCGCGAATTCGGCAGTGCAAGACGCGGTGTGGCCAAACTTCCGCGCCCAGACACTTGTCAGTGACCGGCACTCGCCCCTGAACAAAAAAAATGACATTCTGCCATTTTCGCGGGTGTACTACGCTCTCACTTACCGACTGGCGCCTTCTCATCTATAATGCTGATGCTGCATGCTTGCACGAAAGTGGGGCAAATTGTCTTGCATCTACAGATTTCCACGGACGCAGTCACATTCTTTGTGGTTTTGGCATTTCAGCCGTACAGGCAAGCCTCTAGGCAGCACAGGCCACCTTCAGAACACCATCAGTGCCACCAGCCCAGCCTTTGTGACTCACTGTATCTGCTGCTGCTGCTGCTGTCGCTGCATCGCGCCTGACTCACTCTGTTCGCTGATTGGTCCACATTGAAATGCACGCCCTTAGTCATGGAATTGGCGTGTGTCTGTTGTGAGTCGGTGTTTTCTGGCCGACTATTGAGTCGTACTGGCTGTGCGCGGAGGCGTATGCGCGCCTAAACCTACTGGAATTCCCCCTTTTTTTCCTACGCTTAGCTCCCAACGCACTCTTCACCCGTACGCGACATGACGTCTTTTTGCGCAAAGGATACTTCGCTTGGGGCCCGCCGAACGCCTGTACCTCGCGTCACTTTCCTGGCGAACGGTGCGAATAAAGGGCTTTTATCTCAGCAGTCTGATAAATTAAACACTTCGTTACAGTCTGGGCCAAAGCCCACAAATTGGGTACGGAAATGGCAACATTCTTCAGATACTGAATACAGATGCAGATACTGCAACTGAAGTCCTCCTCCTCTCCCCCTCCCCCTAGACAGTTTGGCTTCGCCGATTTTCAGCTAGCGGTGTCATCGCGTAGTCATGGCTTATACGCCTATTGCCTTTGCAGGTTGTCTATGTTGCAAGCTTCTAAATGACGCTCTCAAACCATTTATTTCGAGTTGTGCGAATACCCATGAAAAGATTCAGAAGATTAATTGGCGAACATATGTGTATTTGCCTGTTGCTTTGAGTGGATAGCAGTGACGATTCGCCACTTGGCCAGAGTGCGTGTGGTGCTGTGTGCTGCTAGCACTGTGTCTTCACAAAGCTTGTAATATTTCATCTCGAGCTATCGTGCTATTGCAAATTTTTCAGAATTAGGACTCAAGTGCCGTTCTAGTTATCTAAGCGTACTGTTATCCGACGGTGATGACATTGATTTGAGAATTGTGAACATTCGGTGACGCCATTAAACGGGGCTTTAATTAATTTTACTTTGATCTCTATGTGTAGTCTTTGATTTTACTAGCATAAGTGGTTTCACCCCTAACTTTCTCACTTAATCGACCGGCTGCCGAGCGCATGGGGGACCTCCATTCCTTTTTTTACTGACAGTCCTGATTTCAGTGTTTGCTAATTTAACTTTCTTCATATTAGGCCTGCGCCGTTTTGGTTGTGACAGCTTCTAGGACATCCTCCTCATCAACCGTTTTGCTCAGTTTTCTGTAGGTTTATATTGGGGCTGTACAGAACGCAAGGTCTGTCTCTGACACCAAGCTACCAGTCACCACTGCCCCGAAAAATAACTATGTACTTCACTCAATCTATACTTTGTACTACTTGTACTTGATCCGATTAGCTCCTGTTGTTGGATGAATCGACTTCACGGATGTCACGGATAGCGGCGGTCGGAAGCGAGCTCTTCACAGATGTCAACCCATTGTTTGTCCCAATTTTGCAAGCCGTAAACGGTAACGAGGCCCATGCTTTCGACGTCCGACTTAACGGTGCTGAGCCATGTCTTCAGTCGACCGCTTTGTCGGTATCTCCAATTTACACTACGAGAGGGGCTCACGACCAATCTGCAGAGGTCCTTCGATGGTTTTCGCAGGATATGGCCAAACCATTGCAATCGGCGATGGTGGGTGTATGATACTAGACTTAGTAGTTTGAAACATCTGCGGTATAGCTCGACATTGTAAATTCTATCTTGTCAGAAGACTCTTAGGAGGCGTCGAAGACACCGATGGTCAAAGCCTTCGAGCGATAGGATGTCTGCCCTTCTCACTGGCCATGTTTCGCAGGCATATACTAACACGGGCCTGATTGATGCTTTGTATATCAGCAGCTTAGTACGTAAGCTGATGTCTG